AATGGGCTCCATGCAAACGCTCCACTTATATGACTTGCAGATGCCACAGCTCACTGGGCACCCTTGCAACACCACATTAGACGAGGACCCAAAGTCTGTGCACCACGATGGATTCCGAGCCACCTCTTCACAATTAGCAGTGCCCACATTGAACTGCCAGTACGTCCAGTCTGGATTGTCAGCACAGTCCCCTTGACAGCTGCAGCACATCGCCGAAGCAGAAAAATTGGAGGTATCGTACACGCCGCAGAGAGCACTGAACTCGTTATAGTAGTCGCACGTGTTGTTCAACGCATCCCTGAATGGGCCCGAGTAGTCTTCGCATGCCTGCCCTCCATGGTCATCCTCCGCCTCCTCCTCCTGCCCTCAATGGTCCTCCTCCTCCCGATCAGATCAGCCCGCGGCCAACTGACAAGGTATCTGATCCCATGAGCATCGTTTACCTGATCCCCATCCCCACTGGCATGGCCTTGGCCTCGCTGGCCGATTTACCCTGCGTATGCTTCTGCTTCTGCGTTTGCCTATGATTTTCTTTATTAGTGTTAATGTTATTATCCGTAGTAGCATCATTCCTCTTACAAGCTTCTGATTACTACTACGCCGCTACAAAAGTTCGTCACGTTTCATGAGAGCTTGAAGGTGGCATGGGTTATCATCATCAGCATCAGCATCAGCATCCTCATCGTCGTCGTCATCATCATCATCATCATCATCCTCATCATCATCACCATTATCATCATCATCATCATCATCATCATCATCATCATCATCACCATCACCATCATCATCATCATCAGCATCAGCATCAGCATCAGAATCATCAGCATTATCAGCATCATCATCAGCAGCAGCATCAGCATCATCATCATCATCATCATCATAATCATCATCAGCATCAACAACATCATCATCATCAGCAGCATCAGCATCATCGTCATCATCGACATCATCAGCATCATCAGCATCATCCTCATCATCATCATCAGCATCACCCTCATCATCCTCATCATCCTCATCATCCTCATCAGCATCAGCATCATCAGCAGCATCATCAGCAGCAGCATCATCATCAGCATTATCATCATCATCATCAGCAGCATCAGCATCAGCATCATCATCATCATCAGCATCATCGTCATCATCATCTCATCAGCATCATCATCAGCATCATCATCAGCATTATCATCATCATCGCCACCATCATCATCATCATCACCATCATCATCATCATCATCATCATCATCATCAGCATCATCATCATCATCATCACCATTATCATCATCATCATCATCATCATCATCATCACCATCATCATCATCATCATCACCATCATCATCATCATCCTCATCATCATCATCATCATCATCATCATCATCATCATCATCCGACTCTTCCTCCTCCTCCTACTACTACTACTCCTCCTCCTCTTCATTCTCCTCCTCCTCCCTCTCCTCCTCCTCCTCCTCCTTCTCTCCTCCTCCTCCTCCCCCCCTCCTCCCCCTCCTCCTCCTCCTCCTCCTCCTCCTCCGCCTTCCTCCGCCTCCTCCGCCTCCTCCGCCTCCTCCGCCTCCTCCGCCTCCTCCGCCTTCCTCCTCCTCCTCCTCCTCCTCCTCCTCCTCCTCGTCCTCCTCCTCCATTCCTTCTCCCTGTCGCACCCCGAGGCTAGTTTTTAGGGCGGGCCGGGCGTTTCGCATGGGACTTCCTCACCCTTTACGACTCTGATGTGTTTGTGACAACAGTTCCACAAATTGAGGGAGGGTGGTTTTCAAAATGTGGCTCTCGCCTTAGCGCCGCGCACATCCATCTCGACAAGTTGCAAGAGTTTCACGAATTGAAGGCGGGTGGCTTTCAACATGTGGCTCCCGCCTCAGCGCCGCGCACATTCGTTGTAAGAAATTACAACAGTTTCACGGGTTGAGGGCGGGTGGTTTTCAAAATGGGGCTCTCGCCTTAGCGCCGCGCACATTCGTGTTCAAAATTTGCAAGAGTTTCACGGATTGAGGGCGGGTCGTGTTCAAAATGTGGCTCTCGCCGTAGCGCCGCGCACATTCGTTGAAACAAATGTAAAAGGTTCACGGATTGAGGGCGGTTCCTTTTCAAACTGTGGATCTCGCCTTATCGCCGCGCACATTTTTCGGACTCTGCAAGAGTTTCACGGGTTGCCTTGATCAACGTACCAGCAATGGTGTTTGGGAAGGATTCAAGATTTTGCGGGCGCAACAGTTATGTTTTCTCGCTGTGTTGAAGTCCCACAAATGGTGTTCTGGCACGATTCTGGATCGTCAAGACGCAACAGTCAGGTTGATACGTCGCGTTGACATCCCGAGAACAATGCTGTGGCACGCTTCAGGATCTTCAAACTGTTCTTCAACGAGGCAGTTCCCTCATTGGAAATGAACCGTTGTAGGGGCCTATGAAGAGGAAGCTTCGAGGGAGGGTTAAATCCAACATCGTTGACGACTCTTGGGTTTGCAATGGTCCTCATCCTCCTCCTCCTCCTCCTCCTCCACCACCACCACCTCCTCATCATCATCCTCATCCTCCTCCTCCTCCGCCTTCCTCCTCCTCCTCCTCCTCCTCCTCCTCCTCCTCCATTCCTTCTCCCTGTCGCACCCCGAGGCCAGTTTTTAGGGCGGGCCGAGCGTTTCGCATGGGACTTCCTCACCCTTTACGACTCTGATTTGTTTGTGACAACAGTTCCACAAATTCAGGGAGGGTGGTTTTCAAAATGTGGCTCTCGCCTTAGCGCCGCGCACATCCATCTCGACAAGTTGCAAGAGTTTCACGAATTGAAGGCGGGTGGCTTTCAACATGTGGCTCCCGCCTCAGCGCCGCGCACATTCGTTGTAAGAAATTACAACAGTTTCACGGGTTGAGGGCGGGTGGTTTTCAAAATGGGGCTCTCGCCTTAGCGCCGCGCACATTCGTGTTCAAAATTTGCAAGAGTTTCACGGATTGAGGGCGGGTCGTTTTCAAAATGTGGCTCTCGCCGTAGCGCCGCGCACATTCGTTGAAACAAATGTAAAAGGTTCACGGATTGAGGGCGGTTCCTTTTCAAACTGTGGATCTCGCCTTATCGCCGCGCACATTTTTCGGACTCTGCAAGAGTTTCACGGGTTGCCTTGATCAACGTACCAGAAATGGTGTTTGGGAAGGATTCAAGATTCTGCGGGCGCAACAGTTATGTTTTCTCGCTGTGTTGAAGTCCCACAAATGGTGTTCTGGCACGATTCTGGATCGTCAAGACGCAACAGTCAGGTTGATACGTCGCGTTGACATCCCGAGAACAATGCTTTGGCACGCTTCAGGATCTTCAAACTGTTCTTCCAACGAGGCAGTTCCCTCATTGGAAATGAACCGTTGTAGGGGCCTATGAAGAGGAAGCTTCGAGGGAGGGTTAAATCCAACATCGTTGACGACTCTTGGGTTTGCAATGGTCCTCATCCTCCTCCTCCTCCTCCTCCTCCACCACCACCACTTCCTCCTCATCATCCTCATCCTCCTCCTCCTCCTCCTCCGCCTCCGCCTGCGCCTCCGCATCCTCTTCCTCCTCCTCCTCCGCCTCCTCCTCCTCCGTTTTCCTCCGCTTTCCTCCGCCTTCCTCAGCCTTCCCCAGCCTTCCTCCTCATCCTCCGTCCTCCGCCTCCTCCGCCTCCTCCTCCTCCTCGTCCTCGTCCTCATGCTTATCCTCATCCTCCTATTCATTTCCGCTCCCAAGTGTTCACCCAGGTGATGCAGCAACGGCTGACCAAACTTCGGCGCAACGTTTGGCTTCATGGGCATTTCCAAAGGCAGGGGAGGGCGGTGATTCGCCGCGGGGATCTTCGATAACCAAACAAGTATGGTCATTGTGCGAAGCCTGCGTTGAATGCATACATGCTTGCACTGGAACGCCGCACGCACGGCGAATGGCCAAGATGCGCTGAGGACCTGCAGAAAATACAGCGCGCATGCCATTTTCGAGGGGCGCGGCAGGAGAAAGCAGCAGGCGACGCAGCGAGCACACGAGCATACAAGTGACACCTGCGCGAACAGAACACACACGAAGGACCTTGCGAGCAAGCAAACGAGGGTACAAAGTCGGTCAGCAGAGAGACGTACGAGGTGCAAGCATCACATCCACACATGCGCGGGCACACATCCATCCAAAGCCACAGAAGGGTGTGCACCCAACCCCCCGCGAGGCCATCGTCGGCGCTGGAGTGGGTGCCTGTTCCCAAAGCTTGAAAGCTTCCGAACTTGCATACATACGTACATAAGGAAACAGGGGACACAAACAGAGAGCGAAAAAGAAAGAGAGAGAGAGAGAGAAAGCGACAAGGCGGGATAGAGAGAGAGGGAAGAGAGAGAGAGAGAGATGGAGGGAGGGCGGGAGGGAGGGCGGAGGGAGCGAGGAAGCGAGGGAGCGAAGTAGCGAGAGAGCGAGGGAGCGAGAGGGAGAGTGAGAAAGGGAGAAAAGAGAGATATCGTGGGATATATATATATATATATAGAGAGAGATAGAGAGAGACAAGCAAACAAACAAAACACTCAAACAAGCAATATATATATAGAGAGAGAGAGAGACAGATATGGACAAGCGAGGTGCGCTCGCCACGTCTCTGCCATCCTGACCCCACACACATCTCTTTCCATTGCGTTGATGTGTTCTCTATCCACGGACGCGTATCATAGCAGACCTGAATGTCCCACGAAGACCCCATCGTGTGATGCGCAATCCGAAGGGGGGAGCTGAGCAGGAGGAAAAGAACGATGATGAGGAAGGAGGAGGAGGACGAGGGCGAACAGTCTTTCCTCAGAACATCGGAGTAAGATGACAAAGGAATTAAGATCTCATGTTCACTCTGCTCAGGGAGAGAGGGGACGGGATGAGACATCGATCAGACATGTATCCGTTTAGCACGATTACTCTATCAGGAATGTGAAGGGAGGAGGCCGGCTGGCCTACGACCGACGACGCGCGACGGCCGAGGGCTGGCGCGTTCCTTTTCTCCCCTGCAAGCCAAGGCTGGCTTGTTCGAGCATCCATACAGCTGCGGAACGCAGCTGCGAGTTCCAGCGGACAGTGCAACGCATGCAAACTAAGTTAAGTTCTAATTCAATATGAGGCGGAGAGGAGCATATTTACTCCCCCCGCGGCGGGCCGCGCAGAGCCCTTCCAGCCACAGCACCCCCGGCCTGTGCATTTGCACAACCACCGGAGCCAACCCGAAAAAGCTTTTACAGCTCAACGGTGGCTGCCAGGGGGCCAAGGGCCGAAGAAGCTCGACGTTTCTCACCATTGCGATAAATAAATTCTCTCCGCTGGACCGGCTTAGCCAACCAGCAGAGCCATTCGCATCCAACACGCGTTCCGCGCGTGGATGAAATTGTCTTGCATGCGCCTGCCGCGACTGAGTCACGCGGGCGAAACTCAGCTCAAGTCCTCAAACGGGTTGGGCTCGCCCCCTGCTCTGGGCGGCACCGGAGGCGGCGGGTTCGATGACGCCGATCCTCCCGTCTGTACGTCCACGCCACGAGGCATGCGAGACCGCCCTCTTCCTTTGTCAGTGTCGCTCTTCGATGCTGTCCCTTTTGACGGGAAGCGTAAGTTGTGCTCATATGTTGATAGCACGTGCCAGTAGTTCAGAGTAGACCACTCGTCGTCGGGCAGCCACGTGATACTGTTCCGATGGACGTAGCACCCGGCGTGGTTTTGTTCACGTAGCGCGGGTAGGACATGGACGGATCGTACTCGCAGCTGTTGTCCGCAGCGCTGCTGGCAGCATCCATGGCCGCGCCGCTGGCAGCATCCATGGCGGCGCCGCTGGCAGCATCCATGGCCCCATCGCGCGCGCGCCGTGAATCCGACCGACCCTTTACACTGGGATGCTGAGGGTATGTCTCCCTGGTCGTCACGGCTGAGCCGGCGACAGAACGCGGGGACTCGGTGGCTTCTTCGGATGCCCGAACGTCCGAGACGCCAGGTCTAAAAGGCGGAGGGCGCGACAAAGGTCTAGCCTTCGTTCCAGCCGGCGCCCGTGGCCCCACGAACTCGGCTTCACCGTCGTGGTCTGGGTTGTTATTCCTACGATCTCTCATGAATTGTATTAAACTCCTGGCAGCTGTCGCTGCAGCGACACCATATTTTCCGCACGCAGTACGGAAGGGTCCATAATCTTTGTCCTGGAGTTCGGTACCAGGGTCTGGATATTTATCCTGAAGCCATGAAAAGGCTTCCTGTATAAGAGCACCATGGCGACGGACATCATTTTGCACTTTCCTGCCCATCTTATGGGCCCACTTTTCTATTATGTCGTCCGTTTGAACAGCGGCGCGGATGCGGCAGTGCAGAGCATACTCGTCGGTCCGTCTTTTCGAAACAACATTTTCCGTGCATGCCATATCAGGACGAACAATTTGCCCCGGGTAACCAATAAAGTAATCTTCCGATATGAAGAAGCTGATCATTTCGTGGACAATGGCAAAAATCCTTGTTGGCCGACGACCCAGTTGCATGTGTTGTACCGAGGCCAACCATTTGTCATCTACTATGTTCTTGATGATCTCCGGGATCACGTGTTCTGTCGTTCCGGTCAGGGTAACCCTGCCAGGATCAGTAGGGTTTGTGCCTGTGTGCTCAACTACGCAATGGGCTGCAACTGCCCGAACTTCTGCCCCGAACAACCTTATCTTGATCAAGGGGTCTTCGCGGTGAAAGTATACGTGCCTCTCAGAATGATCAAGAGTGAAGGTTCCGTCAGTTATCAGCGTGGCCTTAGGCCCGCTGATTGCTGAGAGATCCAGATCCATTTGCGACTGTTCGCGTGCCATCGCGGCTTCGCCAGTGGCATGTCGCAATACCGGGATGATGAGACGGTGATCCCGACACGCACTCATCCGTCTTGAGACGGACTGAGAACTGCGAGTCGGCCTCGCTCTAAAATTGATCTCCCAGGCAACTGGTAATCGCGCAGGAGGGTTGTTGTCTCCGGCGTTGTTCCCATACTCTTCATCCAAGGCGCCTGGATTCTGCGTGGGTAACCATGGTCTCCCTAAATTTACCACGTCAACTATTGCATTGAGCGTCGGAACAAAGACATTTGTTCTAGTCATGTTGCGGTACCATCTCTCCCAGCCATTCCGAGGAGCGACTAAGTCATCCTCTTCGTCCGGCCAGTAAAAGGCCTCCAGGGCTGGGCAAGATCTCGGGCGAGCGTATTGATCAAAATTAGTTTCCCACAATTTCGGCCACCAGGTATGAATTGGCGGAGTCTGCCTGTTTACGTTCCTGGCTGAATATTCTAGCCACGATATGAACCTTCTGACCACGGGCCTCAAATATTGAAAGAAAGGAGCATGGCGCGCCGGTGGCTGAGCCTCGGCGTTTTCCGGGACCCAAGCTGGAAAGTTGCCAGGCTGGCTATTGCCGGATATCGTGCCAGCGGCCGCCATGGTAGTAAACTGTCCAGAGGCCCATCTTCGCTCCTGCTGATTGTTGTTGCTGATGTTTTTCATGGCATTGGCAGAAGCTCTCGCTTGCCTCTTTGCACGCGCCTTTATATATTCGTGGCGATTCCATGAAAGACCCTCTTCATGATCCACCGCTATGAAGAGGCCGTTAGCCTCCAGGGACCGAGGGATAACTTTGTGGTTCCACGTCTGGGTCATGTAATCGCGCGTGACCTTGTATTTGTATTTGACCGGGCAATTGCAGACAAGACAGTTTGCAAAACCTGTCCTCACCCAGCGGTACCGGCCGCACAGGAACCCCCCGTCGTCTTGCCAAGGGATGGATATAATTCGATCCTGGATTTCGGTCGAGAGTCTTGGCCAATGGTTCCATGGCACGATTATTCTCTCGTCTGCATGAACCCAGGCAATAATCGACTCGTTGTCAAAGGTGACCTCATATGAAGACAACTCGCGATTGAAGAGTACCGCCCAACGCATCTGGTCTGCCTGTCTCACAAGAGAGACGGCTTTGTCGATGTCAGTGAACCTCGGCACTTCTCGAGACACTAGAGTCCCGTCTGGGCAAACTCTACGCGAGAAACGAGTGGGCACTCTACCGGTAAAAACAAGGACAAGATCCCGTAGCTCATGGTGATTGGGGAGACGTTTCCACAAGTGGTGGGTGTCATCTGCGGGCCAAGTCCCCACCGATGGCGGCTCCCCTTCCTGAGCTGGGTTATTCATGGGCACTAAACTTCTTGCGACGAGTGGCTGTCCATACCTCCGCTGGCTGAGCCACGGAGGAATGTTTGAGGGATCAGGCATTGTTGGGCTATTGTTCGCCGGGAGCAATCGCAATTCATAATCTGCGCCCTGGCAAAGCCCAGAGTCGCTCTTCGGGAAGCGAACTCTTTCACTTGTAGACTCCAAGAATGTTTGTAAGTCTGCGATATGAAGAAGAGAGCCGTGACTCCTGACTTGGCCAGGGTCATATGGGACGTACATCCTTTCAACGGAAGCAGCGAACGTCGAATCTCCCTGACATGCTCTATATAATATGGGTATCGGCGTCTCCCCTCTGTCTTCTTCTTGCGGTGAGCACTCCCTGTGCCGCGCCCACATGGCGTGGATCTTTGTTCCAATAATATTGGGGCTACCATTTGGGAAAGATTCCCGACACTTCGACCGTCCCTGGCGGCAGCGCAGCTAAGCTGTGCGCGGCCAGGGCGCACGATTGGAAAGTAAAAAACCATTGTCTTTAAATTTCGGTAACAGGTCTCCAAAGTAGACCCAGCCTCCCGACGATCTAGCATAGTCAGAGCAATGCCTCGCAAGGTATACAGCGCACTGGCCTATTTTCTTGGCCAGTACGTCTGTTCTGTAGTTCTGGCCGCACTAAGTATCCGAGCTGCCTAAGGCAGCCGGGTTTTCTTCACTATCTTCTCCAACTATCAGTGGCTGCAGGCACGCATAGGCTCCAAGGGTAAACCCATCTGGAACATCATCGGGGTGAAATTCAGCTCTACGGTAATCCTTTGCCTTTGCGAAAGTTCCATCGTCCTGATTGAGGCCCCCCACTACTGCAATGATTGGGTCTTCCACGAACTCGGCCATATATCGAAGCGCATTTCCCGTTCGACTGCGGATGGCATCGACGTGCGGCGGTGCGGGGCCTGTAATGTGGGCATCCTGGATCGTTTGCTTCAGTGGTCCAGGCGCATTCCGAAGTATCAGTTGACGTTCCTCTGTCGTCACATACAACCGTTTTTCCTTGAA